GATTTTAAAATTATTATTAGAAACCGTACAAGAGTATACTTTTGAGTAAAGTGTTTTATATTGTGTTTTGGTGACTGCAATTTCCCTCAGTTTCTTTGTTCTTTGATTTAGTTCTTTTTTTATGAATATAATTTTTTCTAAAAGACTAAAGATTTTACTTTTGCAATCAATTTCATAAATTGATTTCTGGTGCTAGAACATACATTTGTTTGGCCCAAATAATCTGTAATTCATAATTTCCTTTCATGATCACTACCTAATTTGAAATCACTAAATTGACTTCTTCTTTCATTCTTAGAATGATTCATTTTCTGTCATATTGTTATTTCTGGTTTTTTTTTATGAGGAATAGTAAAATCTTCAACAGTTGTTGTAATCTTTGTGTTTTTTGTATTTTTTCTCAAAAATAATGGAGACTCAAGTTTTAAATAAATACAGTAATCCTACTCATTCGAAAGATTTTAATTCAACTTAAGTAAGTTCTCTTATCTCATTATGTTCATGACTTTATAGAAACAGTCATTGATGACACGGACGAAATATGCAACTGATGTTAAACTTAATTTGTCATTATAAGATTGTTCAACTGTTCGTTACAAGATTTACTGCACTTTATTGTCAAAATCTATTTAAAATTTAGCATGAGGACATATAATTATTTAATCCACTTTTTAAAGTTCTCTTGCAAGATGTTTTTCTAAAGACTCTTCCTATGTTTGATTGTGATTGACAAATTAAAGAATTTGGGTATAAGTAGTTTAAATTTTCAATAGATAGACCATTGTGACTTGATTCAAGAACCCATACAACGTAGAAGTTAATTTGTTCCCTTTCAAAGTATTTATATAATATTTTGGATACATTTCAAGAACGAATTTCTTTATAAGCTTAAGATTTTATCATATACTAGGATATCAAGCTCGCCTCTACTAGGTTTTGAGGCAAACTAATAGATGATATGTATCAATCTTTTACACTTCTGATTTGCTCATAAGCTTACAATTCAATTAACTTCTATGTTGTATGTATTCTACGAGTAACACTTGTAAAGCAATGGTTGTCGACTCAGTTCTAAGTCAGGGAAGGAATGGTGTTGTTAGAGGAGGTACACATTAGCTAGCCATTCCTTAGCATTAGCTCAAGCACACACTATATACAGGTCCTAGTATCGCAATGCTAGGGAATGCTTAGCCAAACGACTTGCTGAAACTCGACCAGTTGAAGTCTCATCAAAATTTGGTCAAATTATTTGGAGATAAAGTGTCAACTGTGTTTGTTGTAATTAAGGCAAAATATTTATATTTTAAACAATTTCTTTTACTATTCAAGTATTACAAGGGGGTTTCCTTTGAAATTTGCTTGACCAGTTTGAATGTTGACTTCATCTAGCTATTTTACACCGTTATACAACGTATGAATGAGATACCAAACGGGCAAGTCGATTATTGTGTTTAGAGGTGTTAATGAAATAAATCGTGTTAACGCAAGTCAGGAACAGGTTGAATGGTAACTTTTATTAACCATAGAAAAGATGGTATATCTTACAAAAGATAACATATTGATTGTTGTTAGCCACTCTGCACAGGCATTCCAATCCACACATTCGCTCGGCACAAGACAAAACTGACGGGCACTCGAATCGAAAGGTTTCAGTTCAAGAGCTTCGAGTGAGCTTGTCTGTCACACAACAAAACACTACACGTCCGTCGGGCATCATCCGCGAAAAGAACTGTTTCTCCGTTTTGTGGGAATTTGAAATTAAAATTTTGAGCGAATTTCTTACTGTTTGGTAGTGTTTTGTCGGTGGGCCCGGGAATAGACGAAGCCCTCTCGAGAGCCAATCACCGCGGGGGGCGATTCTCGCAACGGACTCTCAAACAGTTCTTTTCGCAGACGTCGGTTCTGAGTGTCGGCCTAGTGGCCCGCGCCGAATCTGGGGCTGGAGAAGTGATGGGCGTAAATGGGGCGGGGGGAGATCCCGTAAGTCTCCCGTGAGACTGGTTGGTATCGGTAGCCGGGAGTAAGGATACGTTCGCCCGCGTGGATGGGGTCGTCGTATATGGACTTGGAGGGCCATGTCGGGTAATCACTGATCAGTGGCCTGAAAACACTCCTAGGGGATCTGTAGTGCGTGAGTTCTGGAGCTTTCATGTCGTCTGTGCCTAGAAAGAGAATTGGGAGTGAGTCAACTCACAACATTCTATGGTACTCTACCTAGAGGTTTGTTGATAGAGATTAGTGTGAACTACGTTTGTAGTGCTAACAATCCAAGAAGATTTGAAGAATGATTATTTAAGTTTATTATTCTCTTAAATTTACTCCCCTATTTCATCAAAATCCTTAAACTGTCATTACACACCCTAATAATTTGTAGAAACATGTTTTCTGACTCAATCTAAGTTTGGTGAAATGTGAAGTATTTAGCTTTGGATGTAGAACAATTTTTAAGAGGAAAGTTCTAACGGTACACTCTTTTTAAATAAAAATTTTAATGCAGAGTTTATATCTGTAATCTTTGGGTACAAAAATGTTGCCGGAAAAAAGAAAATAGTTGTTAAGCAATTTTTAGTATAGAATCGCCACAAAAGACTCAATCTAAAAAATTCCTCAATTCTTTGGAAAAAAGTCTACACTAGTTATGAATTAAATTCTTTGTAAATATTTATTAATAAGTAAATATTAAAACACGTGTGTCATTATAAATCCTAAAACTTTAATTTAATTTATACTTATATTTTCTTTCAATTTTTTGTATTTCTGTTAGTTTAAGCAATGTTTTTAACATTCTAACATATCTAAATATTGGTATTCAGGTCCTAGCAAATATTTAAAAACAAAATGGTTCTTTATAACTGAAACTAGTTTATTAGTAATTGATTCTATGTATAAGGTTTAACTAAGTGGTGCAATCGACCTAATTATGCTTCACTCTGATTGGTGAGAAGTAGAAAATAAACTGAAAAAATAGTTGAACATTAGTTAGGAATGATACAGATAACGTTCTACAAATAGAATCTGTGCTAACTTGCCAAGCACTCCTTCTCAAGAATGGTTGCCAAAATTTAGGTGGTCTGAACCAATACGTTCTACATATCTTTGTTGAGTGGATTGTACATTATTGTGAACTGTAATTAATTTTCAATTGAAAATTAACATTAAAATGTGTATCTTTATTGAGAAATACAAAAAATCATATTTGGTAGTAAAAGTAGTTTCAGTGATTTCAAAACAACTTACAAAAATAGGTGACAGAAAACACATAATTTTAGTACCATTAAAAATACAAAATGTTCATGTTTAAAGAAAACAAAAAAATAACTTACCTTATACCTAATGAATATTGATTGCCCTTACAGGATGTTATAATATTATATAATGATGATTAAAATATTTCTAAGAAAATTACAAGTTTGTATATATGATTGATTTTGTAATTTTAAGTAAAGTTTTAGGTAAATTATGCCTAGTTTTGTAATTCAATCTATGTTATTGCAATCTCATTTCATTATTTGAATAATTAATTAATATAATCAGTTGCCACTGTTTGATAATAGTTTCCTCATGCCCAGAAATAAGCAGAAAATATCTTATAAACAGACTTATATGGATGTTTTTATATAATTTTAAATTTTTATTTCTATTATTTTTTTACAATTCAAACATATCACCATATCATTTTTTTTACTGAAAAATACAAGATTAGATTGTGCTTTCCCCTATTGACTTACTTTTTTCAATTTTGGTAAGAATCATTTTATGTTGAGAGCATCAAAATTATTAAAATCAACAAACAATGCAGGAGAGTCTAATTTTCAAAAACCCTTAACGTGTTAAAAAACATCAAGTTGTAAAAGTTATAACATATTGGTTGCAGTTAAAAATATATATTATTCAACACACTAGTTATTTCAAACAATTTCTCAAGAAGTAAATTTTAATTTTGTCTTTAGGTTTATTCATAGACAAATATTCAGCATATTATTGATTCAAACACCAAAACACCATGATTGTTTGTACAGACAACACACTTGGTTGTATACTTTTCAGTTTCGAACTTCCCTTTATAATGTTATTGTTCTTCCACTTACGGGCAGATCTTTAATTAAGTCAGTTAACATACATTTTAATTTTCTTGTTGATTGTATACATAGATGCATAGGCATAATACCTGCCATGGAAAAACGTGCATTTCTTTATTATACTGCGCAATAGGAAACATGTTTTACAATAAGAACTTCAGAAGATTTTAATATGTATGAATTATTTACATGTACAATTTGTGAAGGTCTTTTCTGTTTTAACAAGAAAAAGTATTAATTTATATTGCCAGTTCAAGAAACAAACAATACAAAAATTTAGAAAATTTCACAATGCCAGTGCATTAGCTACATTAAACGCAGAACTTCTCTAAAATGAATCAGAAGGTGATAAGCCTTTGTTTTTGTTTCTGATAACCAGTAGGACTTGTAACCAGTACATAGCTAGTTGAAGTTTAATTTTAGGCATTGATTTTCTTTGTTCCAAAAAGTATTTGACATGGGATGTCGCTTGCATGCATTTTAATCGAAAATAACTATATTATATAATATATACTATATGTTATGATTCTAAATCATATTGATAGGCTTGGTAATAATTATACTAGACTTTTAAAATTACTAAATATCAATTTTAGGTTTATTTCAAACAATTTTTGTTCAAGATCCTCAACTCAGATATGCACATTATAATTTTTGAATGGTAGCCATTTTATAAACTGACTTATCAATAGTTTCTAAACATTTATTTATATTATATTTTTAAATTATACAGATTAAATATTATTATATTTATATCCTTTATAAATTACACTAAAGTATACATTTAAATTTGAGTTATCTTTCCACAACATGTTTGCTGTCTCTGAAGCTAATCATATCATCTGTCCCAACAGATATGGATTAAACTTAGCATAAAGTTCACACAAAGGGGTGAAATGAAGAACCAACAGGTTAAGATACCTTTCAGTGCCCTGACGTAGGATTGCCAGAATCTGGCCTTCCGCTGTACAGGCTCGTTTCTGCCAATCATGTCCAAATGTTGTTTAAGAAGCATGTTGTGTTTGTCTTGTGTCCTTGCCTGATGGTCCTGAAACAAGAAGTTGAGTTTAAACATCTTTAAATAACACTATTGGTGTAATAATGTTTTTTTCCACATCCTAGGTCATGTAGTTTTCCAAGAACGTGCGTTATATGATATAGATAGCGACATTTTTTGTAAAATTGAAAGAGAAATCTAATATTCACATAGACTTCCCATCCAATGTAAAAATTTGAAGCCAAGAAAATGGATGAAATCCTGGCCCATCTCACCTGAGGGTACTAGCATTGAGTATTAGTTGTGTAATGGAGTAAATATTAATTAAAATCCATGCCAACAGCTTATTGATTTATCACTTAACAAAGAATGTTGTCATTAGTTGGTGACCATCTCAACGAATTGCAACCTCGTTTTAGGCCTCAATATTTTACATTGGATGGGAAGCATACTCTATGTATAGTCAATGATATTAGTGAGAAAAATGGTCCATATAGGAACAAACTATATTATTGTTTATTGTTTCTACAAATAGTATACAGTATTTTACGTCATCTCACAATGTTACAGATTTTGAACATCGAAAAACTGATTTTAAAGTGGCAGAACATTATAAATTATAATTTTTAAAACCACTTTTGTAGTTTGATTCTTTCTTGAATTAAAATTAACAATATCCTGTGTAATTTGGTAGCCAAACCAATTTTAAACAGTCGTAAGGGTAGCCTTTAGTTAAAGTTTAAAAGGTGATGAGCAAAACCTGTTTAGACTTCAGTTTTGTTGACATAATTTGGCCTGATTTGTTCTTACCAATCAACATGATTAATTATTAATTTTGTCCCATTTAATTCAGTCTGAATAAAATTACAATGTGGACATTAGTTTATCACTAATATCTTTAAGAAAATGAATTAAAAAAACATAAAACTATTTTATGCCATCGCGTCATTTAATTATTTTTCATAAATGCAGTTGTTAGACATGGTATTACTGTGTCAATAAATACACAATATGTCAGCTAGGTTTATGCAAAGTAACATTATACCACGAACATATACATGTTGTCGAATGTTGTATTATAATTAGTAAAACAGGTTAATGTTTTCAGAGGTTGGCACCATTGGTATGTAACCCTACTCGGACGCCATCTTGGGTTGTGGGTGCCGCACGCGGCTAATTTTGGCGCGAAGGTTGCCCGCGTTATTTGTAGCCCGGGAGCCTGTGCCCGGACGGTGGGAAAACAAATTGGTAGTTAGTTAACCGACAAAATTCAATTCTAAAACTTATTACTTTTCTATAAACAGAAAATTAAGTAGTTAAGTTGGTAATTTAATGTAATCGCGTTGGAAAATAAACCGGAAAGTTACATCCACTCTTACACTCGTATTTATAAATTCTTGAACTATAAAATATCAACTTCTTCTCTCAAAATTAATATTATATCAGTTAGGTACCCTGTTTAAAGTTATGAAGTTTAACACACAGTTTTTATTGAGGCTACAATGCTGAACCATTTTAATTAATCATAAGTGTTACCAAAAAGCACACAAATAACATTTTCTCTAAAAATTTTCAAGTATAACATCATATGAACTAGTACAATTTAAATTTATGTAATAATAATAATAATATATTATATTATTTTTTTATTATGTTAGTTCACATATATGCTGTAACATTCTTCGAAGGGAAGCAGGAAATGACACATTGAACTGACTTTTCATATACTATATTTTTTTAATGAATGTTTAAATAACGTTTCGCCAAAATGTTTCATTAAAAAACGAGCTAAGCGAGGAATGTGAAAGAATACAATGTATAAGACTGCGGTGTGAAAATAACGCTTGTAAAAAATAAAATCTTTCAAAAGTCAATTTGTGATATCCATCACAGTTTTTTATAAATAAATAAATTTAATGTTCGCGAATATTACCTAACACAAAAACCCATACAACTGTTAAATAGTTTTATTCACTAATAGTATAAAATAGACAACTGTAATTCAATAAAAAAAAAGAATATAGAATATTGTTTTGCACTTGTAAAATGTGTTAGCACAGACAAAAAGAATTAAAATTTTGTTCTATTTGTCTATGTTAGTATACAAAAATAAAAGTTTTTTAAAATAACACTCTGCCGTTTTACTTCAATGGTGTACTGTTTGACCTCAAAAACAACTAACGTGAATTATTAAAAATACCTTTTGGTGTGAATGGGCTTCAATAGTGTAATTTTACAGTCAATTTATTTGAACTAACGGTCTAGGATTTGCCTCAATGCTCTAAAACATTAAAAAAAAAACGGTTTACTTTCTTGCAAAAAGTTTGACGTTTGACGTTATTTCTTCAAAAATATGCTGTCTTAAATATTACGTCTGAATCTCAAGATTCTAAACCAAGCTGAATTAAAAGTATAATTGATTAAAAATATACCTTATTTCATGTCATGGTAAAATATCATAGTAAAAAGCTAAACTAGAGATCCAAACTGTCACTGCAGCCCACTATGTGGATGACTCGTTAAACGATATTTTATTTAATAAAACAATGGGCTTAGATAGTCCATATAGATGGAAATTCTTCTTCAGTACCCTAAGCCAATAATACAACGGAGCTATGTTTCCAATTTAATTGTTGAAAGCCTCACATTTAATAAATGAAGGTTTAAGTTAACTGTGTTAATGCAGAGCGATCCGTTGATGTCTAGACTGTTTTTCATATTATGTACAGTCATTTGAGCACATCTTTATGTTAAAACTAACTATACACCCTTTGAAAAGGTGCTATGGTATTATAGAGATCCTTCAGAATGTATAAACTATCTTGATATTTGTACCTAAATTCATAATTTTGTAGCCAGTTGTATAAATTAACAAATTTTGATTGAGGCTCCGTCAAATTATGCTGCAAATTTATCATGATCGCCGTTCTATTGACTTTTTAAGCCAAGCCATAGTTAAAGAACTTATTTTAAATATAACAGTTTATGTCACTTTAACTATCTCAGTAACGACAACTAATAATGATAATGATATTTAATCACTCTGTGGGATGCTTAATTTCAAACAAGGGTTTTCAATCAAAGATTTGCTACAAATAATCCATAGATGAGAAGTCAGCTAAGATATTTACACGTCAATGGACTGACAGAAACACAACATTAACGTTTAAGAACTGAATCAAGGGAAAAGCGGGCGTTTTTCCATAAACACGTTTTGACAGCTTTAAGGAGATGTTGGAAAAATAAAATAAATGTTTTCCAAAAGGAACTTTGTATCAAATCTTTAGGTGCACTGTGCATCTGAAATGTTAGTAGGTCACACTTTACCTGTGGAGAAGAGTGGGAGCGACTATCGCGAGGGACTGAGCTACAATGGCCTACTGAGGGTCATCATGACACCTCCTCCCCCTCAAAATAGCCCAAGGGCGTCCCCTCGCCCAACCCGCGGTTGTATAGGGTATAATGTTCCTATAACGTTAATGACCACTTTTACTTTCACTATTGTTTTGGTTTAAATGTGGAAGGATTTAGTTTTTAAAATACGTAGAATTGACTTTTGGATGTACTGATGTAGATATCCCATCTGTGGAGATGTAGACGATTTATTTCATTTTAAAAGACTATATTTGAAAGAGTGATTCATAAAGTACGCTTGACTAAAATTATATTTTTATCCCTAGTTTTTGTTACTGAGATAGTTGATGTAGGATAAAAGATGCTACAGCCGTTCTATCATTATGGATGGTTAAAAGTAGGTGAATTCTAAATGAATCTGTAATTTAAATCAGAACACTCTGTCGGTGCCTCAGTTGAACTACGTCCATTTTGATTATGAAAATTGTGACACGTTGAACACGGGAATGGAGTAAACTGTCAATAGTCAATATTAAACATACTCATTATAGATTTATTATACTTCTGGATATTGAAAAAACATGTCAATTTCACTGTCGGTTCTGCCAGGTTAAGATGGAGGGAGTTTTTATTTTTGTTTTCCTATTTGTGTTTTGTTATTTCAAAAAAGTTAAATATGCCAATCTAATTTAAAATTATCCACATATAAGCTACTATCATTCACAAAATAAGGGGAAAATAATTTGGTCAGCATTAGTGGACTCGAATGTCACCAACACACATGACAGTTTTAGAAAAATCTGTCTTATTATTATAAAAACAGAATAGAATGTTACTATATAACTATAAAACAGTAAGACGATAGACGAGTAGTCTACTTTCACTCTTAAAAGTCAGTGGTTATGGTCCCTATAAAAAAATCGCTATCAAATATGTAGTTTTGAATTGATTGAAGTGTTTTATCAAAAAGTGTTTTATTTACCGTATACCAAATAAGTAATACGGATCGATAATGAAAATGAGTAATACGCTTCAGAGCATTCCAAAAATGTATAACACTATGGATTCTTAAATTTTAAAATTTCATCGGTATTTTTAACTATACGTTCAACTATGCTTATATAGTTAACATTATTTTTATTCAATCCATAAGTATCTATTGACGAAGCGTTTTTAAAGTGAACAATTCAAACCCTATTGTTGTTAGTATTTGTCGTCAACCTTTAGTTGGAAATCATTTATATATAGGGCCATGATAAGAGTGTCATCTGGGTTCAAATTCGGTTCCACTTGCAATACCCAGAAAACTATGGTACATTATGTTTAATCAAACAGTATATCAAAGAGCATCTTATGCGTAGTTGAAGCCTAGTATGAAAGTTCATAACGTATGGGATGAGAGTAATTCTTTGTGTAACTTTGTTGCATATAACTAGTAGTTGCTCGGATTGTTAATTAAAAGATTAACTGTCACTGCTAGCTGGGTCCATTTTCAAACTGAACACAATTTTAATATTTCTCAACTTAAAACCAATTCGAGGCCTGCTGCTACGCCTCAGTTATCCGTACATTTAAGAATCGTTTTATAACACAGTTGTATACATATTCATGGTAAAATTAATTTACCACAGTAATGGACAGTTTATTAAAAATTTAGAAAATACTATCACAACATACACTAAACAAAATGCTTGCATTTGAGTTCGACTGTACAGGACCTGTCACAAACACCAAGGAAAAAACTAACTTGCGTAGTTGGTCATGTAAGCATAACTTCAATGGTCAGAATCAGTCTAAGGACATTATACAGCAGACAAAGTGGATTCCAGAAATAAAATAAGACGAGAGGATAGTTAGAAATACGTTACATTAGAGATTTTGATGAACAAAACACAAGGTAATACATATTTAAAGAAGAAGGGCCAAAATAAAAATTAAGATCAGCGGACAGAGAAAAGGGAAAGTGATCTCGGAGGAACAAATAAATATCCGAACGATTAATTATAAGGCATGGAAAGAATAACACTATAAGAAACTGATTAAAGTGGTCCAATAAAAAGCATAAAAGGAAAATAATAATGTAAAAACTAACTTAGTACTATTTTACATGCTTCGCAACGGGGTAAGAGAGGAGAAGAGTAGAATGTGTTTTTAAGCCAGCGTATGAATTTGCGTCGCTAACGAACATTGATTATAAACGACTCCTGCCACATTGATTAGTTTAGTTCAATCAGCTGTTTGATAAATTTAAGATGGTGTTTTGACACGATATAAAATAGAGCAAACATAGGCCTATACAAAACAAATATTACAACTGGGGTTTTTAATACCTATGTCATTCATATTTATGTCCTAAAGTCAAACCTGGGACAGAGGCCTAAATAGTTAGGTTTTGTCTATTTAAAATCTTAGTTGGTCAAGTAGATTTTGTATGACGGAAACAGAGTGACATCACCCCAAAAATGTGTTCTTTAAAGATATTGTAAAAAAGATTCATAAGATGTCATTAATCATGCAATCTCAATGTTACCCTGATTTAGAATTTACTAAATAATTCTTTCTTGATTTAAATTTGATTGAGGTGACTTGCAAAGTAAAATAAAAAAAAATATATTTAAGTGTAAACATGGAACAAATGTAAATAAAGAAAAATTAAAATGTTTAACTTTTTTACTGTTTTTATCGAAGTTAGATAATAAAATATGTAACTCTCATCAGCTGAACATAACAGTCCCGAAACCCCCGAAGTACTACTCTTCATCATAGAATTAGTAGTTCCTATATATCTGCATTTTCCATATTTGAGTCAAACCGTCAATACATAACCGTTTCTAGTAATAAACGTGTATATAGTAAAAGCTTAACTGGGTTTTTATAAAATCTTTATTGTTTCAACATGATATACAACAATAATATATTTTTGTTAGGTAAGATATGTTGTCAATTGAAATTTCTGTAAAACGCATGTGTAGTTAGTTTGTAAACAGGGCAATACTGTATGAGTGCTGAATACAATACCTTTCAATTGGTTTGCTTTCACAACAAAATGGTGTACTAATTTGTAATAGGGAAATGTAGTATTTGAATTATATCTTGCTACAGTGCTACAGCTGCTATGTATCTGCTGAAAATATAACTTTCAACTTTCAAGGCGTATCCTGTAGTAGTAAAGCACCTCTGCGTAATTCAAAGTATTTTAAAGTTTTTTAAGGGGTCAAACCTCTATTCTTGTTACTATCTAACTGTGTTAACTATGTTGGTAAACTTGTAAGTAAACTATCAGCTGTTCTTACATTGTTGTTGAGTAAATACAGTGACAACATTTGTTTCCAGTCGAGTTGTTTCTTCAATATTTTAAGGCTTAATTTTTAAGTTGTAAGCGCTTTTCTAAAATAATGTCCTTGGTATGTGTGTCTCATAAAGTTCATTTTTGTGTTTGTATTTCACAAGAGAATAGTTTTAAAAAAAATGTTTGACTTTGTTATGCTTAGAAGTGTTTGTGTTTCTACGCAATTGACTTTGTTTTATTATTGAAGTTCTACATAAATTCAAATTAGAGATAAAGTTTAACCATATTCACTTAATTAGGCCAGATTTACATTAATGCTATGAAAGTTCCATCGTAACTAAGGAATTGAAATATTTACTGTGTACTAGGTACATGGTAAGTCGATTTATTTTCTTTATCAATACTAGTTTTAGCTATTAGAACTACAGCGGATAGGTTCTTTAGAACAATATGCCAGGAGTACGGTGTTGTGGTTTCAACAGTTCAAGAAGTAAACATTTACATTGTATACTTAGCCAAGAATAGCCAACACTGTTAACTTGGGGTGGACCTTGTTTATTAGAGAAAGACTCTTACAAACCTTTCTGATTATTCCCGGTGATATTATTTGTTTACTCACAAATACAAAATACTTTATTATCGAATTCCCACAGTCCAATAATATTGAAAGGGTTGTGGCCTTGAGTCTGTCCTCCCTCATAAAATTCAAAGTTGTTCAATTATTGGTGATTTATCATTTCTAGGTTCATAATAAACTAGAGCTCGCCCCATGGTCGCAAACTCGACCAAAAGTATGTGTTGTACGATTTTATATATTTTTACCCCACACTGTAAATAAAACATTTGATCGGAATTTCTTCCATTTGTTTTGATTTTCTGTTAGTAATTTTTTGTTATTTCATCACCAACATAGCAACCCATAAGGCGGATGCAAATTTTTTTAAATTTTTTATTTATTTTTTGTACTTATTTTTTTGTATATTTTAATTTAAAAAGGAATTCTGCACATCTACAGGGAAATATCTTTCATTTGGTACAAATCGCTTGTAATTCGGTCCTGTAGTAATCGGTCAGGCTAGCTGTCATAAGTTCTGCAAAAGTTGTTTAATATATAAGATTAATGGTTGACGTTTGTTTTCATCAATATTTAATGTTGTTGTTTTATAGGGTTTAAAGCAGTTTGTGCAGCGTAACCGTGAAGTTTTACGATTTAATGCAACATTTAATGTTTGCTTACTAGCTACAATAACTATTACTTACCTGTTATCAATATATCTTAACACAATATGAAATTAGCACTTAAGGCCAACACTAACGATGACAGGAATTAAGAAATTGTAGATTGGGTTCAGCGTATTCCCCCAGGGTTTCTCCCATTTTTAGGGTCCATCCAATTAAAAAGGCGTTGCTGTTTTGTTTCTATTTGACTACCTAATTGATTTCCAGTAGATGGAATGTCAACATTTGACATAAAATTAACATTTTGGAATGTGTACATATACTTAGTTGACAGTAAAAAACCCCAAATAAAATGTTGAAAAGCTTATCAATATGCTTATCTATTGTAATATGGTTGGTTGATTTACTTATATGATTGACACTTTCGAATTTTTTATATATATTCAGCTTTTTAAATTAATGTCTTTTGAATGTTTGTTATTGTTTATGTTTTGTTTATGTATTGTTTATGTCTTCTAGATTGCAGAAAATGTTTCGTGATTATCTATACTATTATAAAATGCAATTGAAAGTTTGTGGGTTTTAGTCAAAAGTCAACTTCTTTTAATGCTATAACAAAACTTTCAAGATAGATTTTA